CAATTTTCTTGTAATCAGCTAACTCATGTTCTTGGCCATTAATAAATCTTGAATTTATAATTTACAAACTAAAATCCATGAGTTCACTTACCCAAGAGTTCAATCTCCCAAACCATAACAAAATTTTGGGCTTAATCTTGAGGTTCCCCAAATCTCGAGCCAAAATCACCCAAATTCTCTCCCTCTCTCTCCAACAGTCGGCCCTCTCTTTTCTTTTCTTAGAGTTTGATCAGGCTAAATCATCTAAGGGAGAGAAATGAGGTGTAATGCTAAAACACAACAAATCCCACTAAGCCAATATAATAAGAATAAAATAATTGGGCACCAATTCATCACTTGACTCAGCTTAATCTGGTCCGAATCAATTTTTCAATTAAATTTCACCGTATGCTCTAAAAATAATGCCAATCACAATGGCGAAATCAATTCCGGGTTCTGTGGCCGGTAAGGCCCTCAATTTAATTTCCAAAAAAGATTATTCAAACAAATATTCCTACGGTGAACAGATAGAACTTCAAAATCACATATATTCACATAATTGGCACACAAAATTATATCAAACACATAATCATATTTAAATTAAGGACCGATTAGCATATTACGGAACAAGGGTATCACAGTCTTCCCCCCTTTAGGAAGTTTGGTCCTCCAAACTTAATTTACCTGTAGCCGAAAACAATTCGAAATACTTTCTTATTCAACGGTTCTGTTCCTTTTGATAGTTATCTACTCGGTCTCAAAATCAAGCAACACTTTGTTTTCAATCAGTCAACGACTCAACTTTTTCTCCATACAAGGCTTGTATGGTGTCATACCAATCTAGAGTGTAAGTTGTAGTTGTAAGCAAAGTCTGCCAACAATGGATAGATCTTTCAAATTCCCTAAAAAATCTACTGCATAAATTTGGAGTATTTCTCCTAAAATCCAAAAAGTTCTTTCTGATTATGCGTCAATTTGCGGACGGAAAGCAGCGCCGTACCACAATTCAGTCCTCATTGCCTCTTGAAGGCTTGTCAAAATTCAAACACCTCTTAGGATTCCTGCCTAAAACAATAGATACTAGGATTCCATACAACGACCAATCTTACCGATGTAACCGTGGTTAGTCTATAAGCATTATGCGAAACTTCACAGAGAGGAAATGAGCAAATTTATTAATTCTATATACAATAACCCAAACGGGACTTATACCTTGGGTGTTCAATGTAGCCCCACGACAAAATTCGTAGTCACATATTCCTATTTCCATTCCAAAATAGAGAGATTGAAGTAGTTCCGCCACTATCTGATATTCGGCTTCGACCTGTTGGCCCCGAAAAATACTTAGACACACATTCACCAATTACCCTCTTCAAAGCAGGTCATTAACATATTTATTTCAAATGTCAGCTAATTTGTCACAGAAGTTCGGTCTATTCCCTTGTCACAAAAGTTCAATTCAACAGTTTACAGTTTGCAATTCACAATTCAGTTCAGTATTCAATTCTCTGTTCCATCGAGTCTTTCTACTTTATCTGATAGTCATTAAAAGCATAAGGCAATTCATATACGTAAATCCCCATGATGTCAAAGGCAGTATCAAAGGAGTCAATCGCATGTCAAACACAATTCACACATTCTCAAGGTTCCAATCACAGAATATAATGACACTGGGTGGTTATATACAAAGCGTACTGAATTCATGCACTTTTCGGACAATCAGGGTTTTTCAAAGTTTCTTGGATGTTAAAACATTTACATAATACCAAAGGATAGCATTCCGAACAAAACAAAGGAATAATCATCTCGGAATCGAAGCACACCCGTTCGCGACCGTCGGTGGCCAATTCCAGATCGATTAGTCAAGCCCACCCATACGAAACTGTCAGTGGCAAAAGGTATCTCAATCAAAGGTGCTACATAGGCTTAACGTCCCCTAGCACGAAAGGACACTCTAAGAATGTCATCAAAGCAACACAACACCATTTCCTATAACCTGATTTCCCCAAAATCTGATAACACTGAAGCAACCACTCTCCCTTACAAAACATGTTCTGATCAGTCAAAGACAAATGTTCAGTACTGCTCAAAATCAAATCAATCTACCGTCATCGGTTCCCATAGCGTCAAACAAACAAAATGGAACAACACTCCTTACGACACCCAATCACGGGGTTTGTACAATTCGGTTCATTTTTAACACATATGTCCTCAATAGTTGGGGATTGGTTCTCAACGGTGTTCATAGTTAGATCGATCTGTTGACAGCCCACAAAAGGTCTTTCAAATAAGTTAAGTATTCCAAACGAATTCAAGTTTTGGGTCTATCAGTTTTTCTGCCAAGAATAATCTGGCTATTTATTCATAAACAATTCTTAATCCCCTGTTTAACAAAATCGAATTAGGTAGAGGGTCTTATCAAACCAATCTCGACACAGGTCTTACCAAATTAAATCAAACAAAGGTTCTATCAGATTATATCAAATGAGGGTTCCATCAAGACAATATCAGGCAAAGGTTCTCTCAGGTCGAATCAGATAAAAATTTTCTCAAATAGGGCACATTCGGTTCTGTAAGGCATACTTCGTTTGCTTAGGTACATGGTTGATAGTCTCTCAAGTGCCCTAAGTTCATTAGTTCTCAAAGTCATATCAGAATTATTCATCACAACTGTTCATATCAAAGCATTTCAAGTCATGTACAATATGGCATCGACTACATAAATTCGGGGGTAGTTGCATAAACGTGCAGTTATTCAAATCAGGAGGTGTGTACCACAATCAATACAGCAATTCCCAAACAAGTCTTATATACAAGCACATGGTGCACAGTAACACATTAAACAGAGTTCCTCGGTTGCACATAAGATAGGGTCTGTTACGTAAAAGTTCCAAATTAGTCACAAAATGTAGGTTTATGAGTCGAGCCCAGTATAGTCACATAATCCAGTCAATTTTCTACCAATCAAAATGCATGGTCTCGTAACTTGCAGAGTTTATTATTTGGGGTGCTCAACTCAATTATACAATCACAAAGTCACAACTCCAGTGGTTTAGATATACATGTGCATGTGCAGAGTCAATCAATATCCCAAAACGTATTTCATAAATTTCCCAAACGAGGCATATATCTCCAATGAACACGGTCTCGATCATGTAGGTCTAACCAATCCAGATGCACATGCAGCAGATATGGAAAAATATGCCGATCCGAATCAAATAATATCCCAAGCAAAGATGTACAAACGTACTAATTCAGAATCAATCAACACATAAGCATTCAAAGCAATTATTTCTAAGCAGGAAATAAATGCACAAGTGGATAATATACCAACATTTCAACCAGATGAGTAATAAAAGATTTGACTACACTTTTTAGTCTCATACATTCCCAATTTCAACATTCTCAATTCAATTCCTCGTTTTCTTCAATTAATTAAATGCATTAATTAATTAAACCAATTAGGGCAAATTACCATAATTCACAAAACAACCCTAAGGTTCTATTTCCATCAATGTCCCAACATTAATCTCATTTCTCTATGCCTAACATGCATATGGGTTTATATATCTAAAACCTCAACTTTTGTAATATTTCACAAAGGCCCAAACTTTCTCAAAATTACCCAACAACCCCCAACATATCAAAATGCCAAAACTCAAAGACAAAGCTCATAAGATGGAGTAGGTTATCCCTACCTCGAATGATGGGGCGCAACGAAGGAGATGAAGAAACGGAAATGCTCCCAATCCCGAAATTTTCAGATTAAAAGATAGCCCTCGACGATCAACACAACTTTTGTAAAGGCCCAAGGTGAGAAAACAACTCCTACTAGATCAAATCTAAGAGAGAATGGCCGGTTTTAGAGTGAGAAGCTCTGAAAATGGCTTTTTGGAAAAGTAGGAGAGAGAAAAGATCTTGAAAAAGTGATCCAAAAGTCGGATCTCGGATTTATATAAAAGTCTCTCCGCTCGAGCGTCCAAACCCCCGCTCGAGCGTCACTCACAGACTTCCGCTCGAGCGACCAAACTCCAGCTCGAGCGCCGGATACTCACTCCCAGAACTTTTACAGAACCAGGTCTCCGCTCGAGCGCCAACTCCCTCGCTCAAGCGTCACACACAACACTCCCGCTCGAGCGGTCAATCCCACGCTCGAGCGTCCAACACTGCACAGGAAATACTGGATGGGTGTATTCCCCGCTCGAGCGCCCAAACCCCCGCTCGAGCGGACAGGCCAAAATCTGGGCAACTAGTTTTGGTTTCTAAACTCAACCAACCTGTAACAAATCTGCCCAACACATCCTATAACTCAAAATACAAAGTAAAGAGGATGCAAACAAGATGATAAACAACTACCAACATCCACGGACACGTGTCCGGATCACTGTACAACATGGGTAAACCCGGGATCGCTATAACTTTCCATTAATTAATTATGGTGCGGCTTAGGCAGCACTTCTGGAAATATTTTTTTTCTCCCCAGTGCCATAAGAAATGGTAATAACAATTACAATAATGGTAATATTAATAGAATACAAAAGAATCTAAAAGAAACAAGAAAAATGAATAAAGAATTGTATGTTGTGCGCACGCACGTGCATGGTGTTAGTGGAGTCTTGTCCCGTGCTTGGTTACCTTGCTTGAGGTGGATATTTTATAGTTGTTTGTAATTTGTGACCTATGTATATTGACTTATTTATTTATTTATTTTAATAAGACAGAATTAAAAGTTAAAACACATACAATACATGCGATATGGTTAGCCATGAAATTTTTTGATCTCTCTTGCTCTCTCTTGTGTGCCTTATTAATTGTGTGGAATATGTGCCAATGATTGATAATGTTTTGTGTTAAGGAATATGCTTCATGCTTCTTGTAAACTTGAAGTTTTGAATGAAAAAAATCATAATTTAAGTGAGAGAACTTCAGTTTGACTTGTGGAGGACATGTCCTTCGTACTTATTTCTCAATCATCATAGCTTCTAAATGCATTATTCTTCAGGAAATCTATAACAGTCCTGACTACTAAAACATACCTATTTGTGGCTTGATGCAGGCTGTTCTTCCCTTGAGGGGTAAAATTTTGAACATTGAAAGAAAGGACGAAGCAGCAATGTATAAGAATGAAGAGATTCAAAATCTTATTCTTGGTCTGGGACTTGGAGTAAAGGTTATTTAATTATAATCTTCAAAATCTTAGTTCCTTTCTTTTCAGATACTTCACCTATTTTGTTGACTGAATTTTACTGGTTTTAGGGAGAGGATTTTAAAAAGGAAGCTCTCCGCTATCATAAAATTATAATCTTGACAGATGCTGATGTGGATGATGCTCACATCCGAACTTTGCTATTGACATTTTTCTTTAGATATCAGGTAGATAGTTGAGATAATCATCTATTAAATTTTGTTGGTCTGAGATAATCATCTATTAACTTTTCATGGACATTTTTCATTATTTGTCTAATTTTACCTAGCATTATTGCTCACATTCTTTGGTACAGATGGGTGAACTCGTCCACAAAGCTAAATTGTATAGGACAAATTGACACTTTTTTGTATTTTTGGAAGGGTTATATATTTTTGTATAGATGTATATGGAAAACATTAGGGTAGACTAGTAGTTATATTTTTGGATACACTAGTAGTTATATTTTTTGATGGGTGTGTATGGAAAATATTTGGTAGACTACTAGTTATATTTTTGGGTTGATGAACATGGATACAAATTTAAAACATAATAATAAGTACTTGTTATGTTTTAAATTTTTATGCTAGATGAAATATGTAGTTTGGAATTACTTGTGGATGAAAACTTATAATAGTTGCTGACTTTAATTAAACAGGTTCAGAAATTATTGATATATGTATTTTGTTGAATGTTCATGATTCAATTTATTTGTTGGTTTGAATGATTTTTGCAAATTACAGATTATATTGAATAAATTGGATGGATTATTATAAATTACAGGTTTATTTTGTTGGATGTTGGCAACCAAATTTTGGTTTTGTTTTTTTAGTTTTGGTGACCAATTGATTAGTCAGGAAAGATAAGTTATATTTTAGCTGACTAAATAAAGTAGTTGGTGTATCACCAAGCACATTTGGCGACTAAATAATTAGTCAAAATTATTAATTTTGGCAACCAAAGGATTTGGTCGCAAATAGGTCTATTGCCGACTAAAGTTTTAGTTGCGCAAACATTTCTTTTGGCGACAAACATGTTTGGTCGTAGAATGTCACAATTGACGACCAAACTTTTTGGTCGTTGAATGTGATAATTGGCGACCAAACTTTTTGGTCGTGGAATGTGACAATTGGCGACTAAGATATTTGGTAGGGAAAATTTTACTTTTCGCGACCATAGTGTTTTAGTGACAAAATGGATTAGTCGCAGTAATGACATATTTAGCGACCAAAAATTTAGTTGGCAAATCCAACTTTTCTCGACCAACAAAAATTTTGGTCGCGAATTACTTTTGCCGACCCTCAATTGGCGACCAAAGTAGCGACCAAAAAAATTGGTCGCGGATAACTTTTGCCAACTAAAAATGGGCTTTTAGCGACCAATTTTTTGGTTGGCAAAGATGTTGTTTCTTGTAGTGGATTGTGGAGCTGAAGCTCACTTTTGTTCATTTTATATTTACTTTCTTTTTAAGCCTAAGGCTTTATGTGTATTGAGCTTCTGACTCATTTTGTTGTAACCAAGCCAAGTCTTGAAAAGATGTAAGCGTTTAGGGTATATAAATACCTATTTAGCTTTCATTCTTTATTATTATTTGTAACACATGCTGTAAATTCAGGATGAACTGTTAATGAATATACACTGCATGTGTCACCTTTTATATATCAATTAAAATTAATGAAAGCTTCTTATTCCACCAATATCACTTGTAGTAGTTGTTTAGAGTTCTATTGTGTAATCTTTTCGGGGCGTGACATTCCTTGCAAGAACCTAACACTCTTTTTGAGTGAGATTATTTATAGCCAAATTAGTGTGGCCACTATATATCAGTTTGAGAATTAAATAATCAGATTGAACATATTATTTTAACACAACATGCAAGCATGAATCTAATAGGGAGGAGGGCAGTGGTGATCTCACCCCCAATTTTTTTAAAAAATCTCTCAATATTATAGTAATAATTTGTAAGATAGTCTCAAAATTATAAGGTTCGCACCTCCAAATTGTAGGAATTTGCACACTCAAAATAATAGAGTTTGTATCCCCTAACAAACTATATGACAAAATTTTAAAATTAATTTTTTAACTGAGTTTATCAAATATTAGTCCTTATTTGTGTTTATTTTTGCCTTAGAACCTTTTTTGTTTAATATATGTGTATATTATCTTGATTTACTTCTATTTTTGTATTTATAATTGAATTTAAGATTTTAATCAAAGAACAATTCTCAATTCAATTAACTCAATAATCTCACATTTCTTTGGTTCAATCCGTTGAAAATATTGTAATGTAAAAAAAAAAAAATATCTCACTATTCAAATAAAAAACATATTTTGATTGGCAGAATTTAACAAAACATTCATTTTAATAACATATGTAGTAACAACAAATTTGCCTCGAACATCTCTTCAACAAAAGATATCTATCCAAAAAAGGCACAATGTTTTTAAAATTCTAGCACAACTGACAAATTGAGGATTTGAATCTTCATTGTGTTTGTTACATTTCTTATTTTTTGTCTTATATTTGTTGTGTCATTTATACTTTTTCCTAAACATTAAAATTTAATTTATTATAATACTCTTTGTTGTATCATCCATTCTTGTTTGATTATCCACATTACTTATTTTTTTATTGATAAATTGATTTTTCTAGTGTCAATAAACTTTCGCGATTGGAAGAAACATATGCTTTCACCTTCAAAGTCAAATCCTAAATCTTTCATGTCACATTTTAACTAGGAATGGCAACGGGAGCGAGAGCGGGAGCGGGAGGGGGCAGGGCCGAGGACCACACTCCTCGTCCCCGATCCCCAATAGTGAGAAATTCCCTGTCCCCGGCCCCGATCCCAGACGGGGGGACCCCATCGGCCCCTCCGCCCCCACCCCCGCCCCCGATTGAGGATCGGGTTTCCCCGACCCCAAAAATTCCCGACCTGTTCATTTTTTTTTTAACACAAAAACAACAACAAAAAAAATTTCAATCTGTATTCAGTAATCTATCATCATCATCATCATCATTAAAAATTTCAATCTGTTGTATAATCTATCATCATCATCAACTTATAGTCAATTTGACTTCCTATAGTCATCAAATTCTGAAATCAAATTTGACTTCCTATAGTCATCAAATTCTGAAATCAAATTTGACTTCCTATAGTCATCAAATTCTGAAATCAAATTTGACTTCCTATAGTCATCAAATTCTGAAATCAAATTTGACTTCCTATAGTCATCAAATTCTGAAATCAAATTTGACTTCCTATAGTCATCAAATTCTGAAATCACAAAATCAAATTTGACTTCCTGTAGACATGAAATTCTGAAATCAAATTTGACTTCCTGTAATCAAATTCTGAAATCAATTTGAACACAATGGAACACACGGTGTAACTCAGTCAATTTTATATATAACAATTTGATTTCCTGTATAGTGCTAAAATAACTCATGCTAAAATAAAGGAAACATAATTTCAATAACTCATGTTATATATATGTATAGTGCTTTTATTCATAGTGCTTTATGTATAGTGCTTTATATATATTTATAGTGCTTTATGTACAGAATTTATGTATAACGCTTTATGTATAGTGCTTTATGTACAGAATTTCAATAACTCATGTTAATTTCAGAATTTCAATAACTCATGTGTTATCTCATGTTAATTCAGAATTTCAATGACTCATGTGAGTCCTTGGAAGCTATCTCCTTATTCTCACCTTCATTGACATCTACATATATTGACTCTTTGTTGATTTCAGAATTTTTTTCGGGATTATAGTTAGAATTTCAATAACAGAATTTTTTTCCGGATTATAGTTAGATACAATGTGCTTTCAATTACTCTTTGTTGTATTTTTTTTAGTCAGATACAATGTGTTATCTCCTCTATTATTGTGTTCCTTTATTCCTTTAGTCAAATACATTGTGTTCCATTGTGTTCCTTTATTCCTCTACATTCTGTATATGATCTCATTTTACTGGGTTTGTTTTTGGCTCAAGGTTCTGTCTGTTTTTGGCTGTCTTCGGCTCCCTTCGAACTCCCACTCGCAAGGTAAGACTTCGAACTCGCGCTGTTGTGTTTTTCTCTTTTTGAATTCTGAATTTTGAATATTTTGAATCCTGAATGAGTTTTTGGGATTCTGAATTTTGAATTTTGAATCTTGAATTTTGAATTTTGGCCCTAAATTCGCCTAAATTCTACTCCCTTCGGCTGGATAGGAGATGGTTTTCGGCCCGGATAACCTTATCCACAATTCCAGATTGATTGATTACACTAGCAGATAAATAGCTATACTTCTTCTGACTGATAGCTATACGTTTTCTTCTTCTAAAATTATACATACTACTAGTCGAAATTTGTTAAAATTATATATGTTTGTAGCTTGAATTCAGAATTTAGGTGATAGTTAAATTCTGTTGTCTTCGGCTCCCTTCGAACTCCCACTCTTGAATTCTGAATTTTGAATTTGTAGCTTGAATTCTGAATCCTGAATGAGTTTCTTAATTTTGAATTTTGAATTTGTTGTTTAAATTAGTTGCAAGTCTTATACTGCAATATTTTTTGTTGCAGTATTTCTTGAGTTGCTGTGTTGTTGTTTAAATTATCTCTTGAGTTGCTGTGCTGTTGGTGCTGTTGTATATGATCTCATTTTTTGTTGGGTTTGTGTTCAAGTAAAAATGTATGTTATTTTAAGTATGAATGTCCATTTATTTTATTTAATGCCATTCACTTAGTTTCACATGGCTCCATGTATCCCCTTGCACCCAACAATATCACTTATTTTTTAATTGAAATCAGGAACTTGAACTTGAAACAGGAACTTTGCTCGGCTGCTCGGTTAGTTAATCAGGAACTTGGAGCCATAAAAAATAAAAAGCTCGGTTGCTCGGTTAGTTTATTACGCTCAATGTGTTTATTGAGAAGAATTTTAATTGTCCACTGTTTTCAAAGAATTCTGCTCAATGAGAAGAATTCTGCTCAATGTGTTTTCTGTCAACTAAAGAGCAGTTGCAAAGGTTATGTTTTTTATCACCAAAATCACCAAATTCTGCTCAATGTGTTTACTG